AAAAAAAAAAAAAAAAAAAAAAAAGGAAAAATGCAGAATCACAGGCCACACCCTAGACTTATTGAATCAGAATTTACTTGGCAAGATTCCCAGGGATTCGGGTGCACATTAGAGAACTTAGCACACCTTAGTTTTCCTCAGGAGGAAACCTAGGCCTTGACTTGAGGCAGACTTGGTTGCTAGGTACTCTCATTCAGAGTGACCTTGAGAAAGATACTTTACCTCCATGAGCCTCAAACTTCTCATCTGTAAAATGGGCATTGTAATAATTATATCCAAGGCTTATTTTGGGAGTGTTCAATAAACGGTTCTTTCATTCTTTAAAAAATAAATAAATACAGCCTCAATGGGAGTCACGCTCTTATTCTTCTTTCTATAGTTAAAATGTATGTGTAATGATTGTGTACTAGCAGTTCAAGAGCAAATAAGTATTTGGTTAACGGCCACATTACTTAAATTTGTAACTTTAAGATAAACATTGAACAAGGAAAGAGATTTGTAACTGAAATGTAAAGTCATTTGACCCTGGAGAGTTAATGACAATCTCATTCACAGGTCAATTCATAATGAGATAGTTATCATGGAATTATCAATAGCCTGCTATATCACTTTATGTTTATGATCCACAATGCTTCCCATAGCACCATGAATAGATTGTTGTTGAGTAAATGATATTTTGGTGGTGAAAATAATCATGTGCCAGGTTTGGTTTTGTTTCTGCTTATTTCTTATATGACAGAAATGGGCCTTACATTAGATGTTTCCCATTCCAGGAACACTCATCCCGGATATTTATATGACTGACTCTTTTGCATCATTCAAGTTTTAGCTCAAAATGTGCCTTCATTGACTACTGGCACTCCAGACCACTGACTAAGTGGTCTCCCAGTTACAATTTTATTTTCAGTTGAGCACCTATGGGTTAGTTTACGAGAACTGTGTCTCAGTCTGCTCCTGCTGCTATAACAAAATACCTTAGACTGGATAATCTATAAATAATAGAAATTTATTTCTCACAGTTCTAGAGGCTAGAAAGTCCAAAGGCATCAAGTCAATACAAGATTCGGGGCTGGTGAAGGCTTGCTTGGTCTTTGCTTCTAGATGATGCCTTGTTGTCTTTACCTCATATGGCAGAAGAGTGGAAGGTCAAAAGGGACTCTCCAAGCCCCCTTAGAGTAAGGACACTCATTCCATTCATGAAGGCTCCACATTCACCTTCTAGATGCCCCACCTCTTAATACTCTTGCATTGAAGAGTAAGTTTCAGCATGAATTTTGGAGGAACGTACATCTTCAAACAGCAGAAGGCTGCCATAACAAAATACAACAGACTGTGTACCTTAAGCAACAGACATTTATTTTCTCACAGCTCTGGATGCACAAAGTCCAAGATCAAGTTGCTGAATTTGGTTCCCTCCAAGACCTTCCTCCTGGACTTGCAGATGGGTCACCCTTTTGCTGCCTCTTCACATGGACATTCCTGAGTGAACATATCTCACCTGTGTCACTCTGGGTGTTCTAATCTCCCTTTCTTATAAAGACACCAGTCAGATTGGATTAGAACCACCGTAATTGCCTCATTTTAACTTAATCATCTCTTTAAATGTTATATCTCCAGATGCAGTCACATTCTAAGTTACTGGGGGTTAGGGCTGCACATGTAAAATTTAAGAGTATACAATTAAACTTTTACAGCACCTAAAATATATATAAAATTATAATGTTTATATATATTTACTTGTTTATTATCCATTTTCTCTCATTAGAATATTTGCTTCATGGCATACCTCAACTGTATTGCTCATTTATGTCCCCAGGACTTAGATCAGAGCCTAGCACATGGCACCCACTCAGCATATATTTGTTGAATGAATAAACAGATAAATGAATATTAAAAGCATTTAATTATCAAATCTCTGATACCTATAACAATTATTATAATTTCAATAATTTGAGAGTCAAGAGTCAGAAGAAGAAAGCGTTTAGTTTAAAAAAAATCTTATGGGTGTTCAGTAGATGTTATTTCCCACATAAATCTATAAGATTTTTGTTTTTCAAGTTTCAGTTACTTATTAATCAGTATAATTACCAATATATTACATCAACATGATTTCATGCATTTAGAGAAGAAATATTTCCTGGTTCAGTGGAAAACTATGCAGATGGTTTCTGGAAGATCTTCATTTTAAAGCAGCTTTACCTTTCATTTAGTAATCTGGACATTCTTTCTTCAGTTTGCTGTAATCTACATTCACTGAGTAGAACTTGTATTGATCATTGGGACCCAGTTTGTTCCAGGTCTCTGGGTTATACTTTTTGTCCCAACGAACATCTGGATTGAACAATGCCAGACACAAGAGATACAGGGCTGCTCCACCACCTCCAGCTCCAATAAATTCAAAGAGGAGGATCAAGCTTGGATGCTTCTTGGCCTGATGTAAGATCTGGCGGAGAATGTTTGCAGCAGAGGCCTCCGATTGGAAAGAAGAAAGTCAGCCTAGCCACTGGGCCCTGGGCTAAGTACTCCAAGATTTTTAATTTACAATGAAAAGATATCTTATCTTATGGGATATACCTCAGGTTCAGAAAGCAATGAGAATTTACTCCCTACCTTCTAGACAGGTGGTGTAGCAAAGATTTTTAGCTGTACAAAGGAAATGAGTAGCTTTGGGAAGGTTAGATAAGAAATATATAAAATTTTATCTTTCTCTATTAATGGATGACCATTTCTGTGAGCTAAGGAGACTTACTCATGACTATGATAGAGGCGACAATTTTCTCATCCGATGTCTACTTTTCATTCTTCTATATTAACAGGATCCAATGTTTTAGGTGAGGACCTTGCTTACCCACTTAAATGGCTACAATTCTGAGACTCACTTGCAGTGGAATTTACAGCCATTTGATTTAGTTTTGGCCCATGAGCTATAAGGGAAGGTGTTCAATGATACATCAGGAGAGTCTCCTTAAAAACTAAAGGAGAAAGTGAGCTGTGTTTTTTTCCCTTTCTTTTTTCACCCTTTTGCCTGGATCATGGCGGATGTGAAAGCTAGGTTCTAATAACCAGCCTGGACCATGAGAATAAAGACCACGTTGTAGGGGTGGTGAAGAATTGCCCCGGAAGAAAGAAACTTGCATCCTTTATGATTTCATGGAGCTTCTGTGGCTGTACTGGACTTTCTTTATCTTGAATTAATAAATGTGAGAGAGAAATGAATTTGCTTAAATTACTCTTATTTAGGGATATTCTGTTATCTTAACTAATACAATGATCAGTAGCCTTTTAATTTTTATTAAAAGATTATATAATCTCTTACTGAGTAGTGTGTGTGGTCGTTGCAATTTCTGGCTTACCTGAAGGAGTTTTTTCTTAAACACAGAAGTTTAATGACTGTACCAGTGCAGCATAGACTTTTCTAGCAGTTCAAGATGTACAGCACTAGACACAACTGCTTTAGTTTAGTATAAAGTCGAATTTTTATTTGTCCTTGAGGGTCCATTTATGCATTCCCATAGCATCATGAATTAATCCTTATGGTTGTACTTATCACAATATCTTATTATTGGTTATTCACTTTTCTGCCTGCCTCACCACGCTCCTTGGAGACAGTAACCTTGTTCACTGTTTTATCTCTAACAGTTTGTACAAATCTTGGGCAACTAGTAAATGCTCATTTAATGAGTAAGTAGATTGGCTAATATCTTACCAACTTCTCTATTTTCCTCTGATATCTACTCCAGGAGACACCAAGGCATTTTCAAGGCAGGTTTCATAATTCGAGTACACTAACTGAGGTAGACCTTGCTTGTGATTCTTCAGTGATATTTAAACCATTTACAGATTCTGTAGTGTGTTACCAGTGGTTCTCAAAGTATGATCCTATACCAATATCAGCAACATTGTAGGTCTAAAGGGATTGCCTAAGAGGCTAGGCATAACGATGATGATGAACAATGTTACACAGTCATGGGGAGGCAATATGGCATAGTATGTAAGAAAGCAAGATTTGAAAGAAGAAGACCTAAGGTCCAAGTTCCAGTTTTACTACTTACAATCTGGGGGAACTAATAATTCTACTTTATAGAAGTGTTGTTGAGATTTAATGATTTAAGAATTAAATCATAAATATATACATTATATTTTTTAAATGTCAAGTTCTTAAGATGGTGTTCAGCACATAAAAAAATGCCCAATAATGATTAGCCATATTGAGTATAGTTCCATATTAGGAGTTTGGTATAGAACTCAGCATCATATTTATTTCATCTTGCTGTCTGGTATAGGTTGCAGGCTTTCTTGATTTGCATTTTTATTAACCCTTGTCAACAAGGCATTAATTACATAATATGCTAGTTTAAGTGGGAAAATTTGGCAATAGCCTAGATTTCTGATTTTTTGATGAAAATCAATAACTCATTGTATCATTTCCTTTGTGACATTTATCTACATTGACCTTGTAGGGCAGTATGTATGTTGTTATGCCTTATTTCTGTTTGCAAAAACAGGCATATCATAGATAAAGTTTACATTTCCAGACCTGAAATTTTGAACACATACCTGTGTATTAACTGTAAACATTCCTTCCTTCTTTCTTACCTACCTTCCTTCCTTCCTTCCTTCCCTCCCTCCTTCTTCCTTCCTCTCTTTCTTTTCTTCTTTCTTTTCTTTCTTTCTTTCTCTTTCTTTTCTTTCTTTTTTCTGAGACAGGGTCTGCTCTGTCACTCAGGCTGGAGTGCAGTGGTGCAATCTTGACTCACTACAACCTCCACCTCCTGGGCTCAAGTGATGCCCCCATCTAGGCCTTCTAAGTAGCTGGGACTACAGGCACCACACATAGCTAACTTTCATATTTTTAGTAGAGAAGGGATTTCACCATTTTGCCCAGGCTGGTCTCCAACTCCTGGGCTCAAGAAAACCTCCAGCTTCGCCTCCTAAATTGCTGGGATTATAGGTGTGAGTCACCACACCTGGTCCTATATTTTTCCTAAGAAGAGTTTTTTTTTTTTCCTAGAAATTATACAATAATAAAATTAAATAATAAATAAATTAAATGATAAAAATAAAAATTTTTAATAAATTTAATTTTACCAAAGAGTTTTCACTTTGCATTATTCAAAGATCAAGAAAAATGTTTCATAGTAAAGTGGCATGGTAAATCTTATCTCAAGCATTATACTGGGTAGATATTGGTCATTTAGTACTTATTTAAGCTATTTAACATAATGTTCTCAGTGAGAACAAAAATGAGCAACTAGGATAAAACTTCTAAATTTAACCTGACATGTGAATAAATATTTTATATCTAATTTGTAATTGCTTTTATGCACTCGTCTTGCCTTTTGATGATACTGTAATTCTATATTTTGGGAATGCAATCACTATGATGAAACCGCCAAAATTCATTTGCACAACTTTTCACTAAAATTAGTAAATAAATATATGAAGCTGAATAGCATTTTAAAAAATAGCCATCATAATTACATGAGAATTACATTTATTAAAAAAAGTGGATTGAACTTTGCTCTAATTAGTTTACATTTAAAGATTCTTTGATCTGTGATAACAGTAATATATATTAACATGTTGCATTTTAAAGTGACACTGCTTTTCATTAATCAAGTGTCTGTATGGTTGATTAATTTGTACAAGGTTTAAATTGCTATGAAAATTTATCATTCATAGCCATGATCTCCATTTACATATATGTTAATTATGGTAAATGTAATCTTTTTCTGAATCCTCTGGGCTGCATACTAAAAAGACAAAGTGATCAGAGTGACTACTTTTTCTATTACAAAGTGAACTCTTAGTGTTACTCAGTAAAGTCTGTTATAGTTGTCAGAGATAAAGCTAAAAACATAATAGTTTCTGCTGAAGGCAAGTCCAAATTCTTAAGATGGTATTTGTTTTTCAAGTGATTTATTTATTCAGCAGTCATGACATTTACGCAAACAGAGTTTCCATGTTTATTTACCATAGTATTTAGTTTTGTCTCTGAGTGCTTGACACCATTTGTGATACCAAACTCCTTCTTCACATTTGTCTCTGTAGAGTTTAGCCCAGAGTATTGTGTACAATTGGAAGCATAGTTAGGAGGCATGAGTCTGGCCTTACACACCCCACTATTGATCTTTTCCTATTGTTTTCTAGAGGCTTTCCCAAAATTCAGAGCATAGTAACCAAGAATTATTTTATTATTATTATTATTGTAGAAATGCTTTCCATTTGTTCCCAACAGTGATCTCTCTTAACAATTACTGATTTGGATAAAAATTCTAATATAAGATAAAGTGATATGGCAACTGATGTTTTAGAGTGAATGTGATAGGCCTTGCTAGGCAAATATTGGAAAATTTAATTATTCCTATTAAATGCCTATAATTTTATGCTTAAATTATTAATACTTACATAATATATTCACTTCAAGAGAAGCCTTATTTCATAGTCAAAACTTAATAGAATTAAAATATCCATCTTGGAAACCTTTGCAAGCATAGCAACTGATGAGGCTATTTTTAAAGATACTTATTTGGCAATTTTGTTATAGTCAGCCTAATCACAGGAGAAACAAACTAATATGGCACCTGTTCTGATAGATGGATGTTTTACCTTTCATCCTCTAATCCCAGACCTTGCAAGACATTTTTCAAAGAAGCATCACTTCCCTCACCACAGAAATGCATCTACCTCTAAGCTGGAAACAGCAAAAGCATAGGGCAGAAGATGAAGAATATATTATCCAACTAAAATTACAGAGAAATTTTAAGTAGGCAGAATATAATTGCCCAATTTGGAAATTAGCCAGGACACAGGGTTTAACATCATCTTTACTCTTTTGAAAAGTGCCATGGGATTTTTAATAACTGCTGGTGGTCAAGACCTTGGTTTTACTCTCATCCATTAGAAGACACCTCCAGCAGTGCAGTGCCCCCTCATACCATGCTGGGGCATCGGTTCAGTACTGACTCAGTGAAAATTGTGCCACCTACTGAATCATCCACAGCTCATCTCAGAGTGTCCTGGCTTTTAGATTTTCTCTGGAGAGCTGTTATGAAAGATGGGACCAGGCTCAATGATGCTTAATGTATGAGATTTCAAGTTTTAAAACGGGTAAGATCTCAGATCTGAGTTTTAATTTCAACAAAATTTTCAGGATTTTTCTATACTTATGGCCCATAATGATGGTCTTGATTAAACTGTACGACATACATGTCTCCCCTTAGAAAAAAGAAAAGGAATAAAGGCAATAATACATGGATATAGTCAATGAAAAGCAAATTTTCTCATTTGCAATATATGTGATTCATCTAAATGGAAGAAGTACTACCCCCAAAATCTTTGTAAACTGTATAACTAAATAGGCTTACAAAGAGCTTCTGTAACTTTCTGAATTTTTGAGAACCTAGGAACAAATACTTGAAAAAGCAAATGAAAACCTTGGAGGGCGTGGACTTCACTGGCCAAATAAAT